GAAGGTGACCAGAGCTGAACTATGATGAAAGCTAGGAATACTAAAAGGTAGAACTGAGGACAGACTGCATTACAGGAACAGAGGGCAGCCAGTGCTACGACATGGAAACACAGAGATGTAACGTCATGTATGGGGAAACAGGAAATACACAGAGCAGATGAAGGAAAGCAATGAGCAAAAAGTAGGCTGGAACCAGATTGTGAAGGATTTTAAAAGTCAAAAAGAAAGATCTGTGTTTCCAAGGCAAGAGATAACCACTGGAGTTTCTTAAGCAGGGAAAGAGAGACACAGAACTGTGCTTCAGGAATTTCAATTTGAGGGCTGTTTAGAGGACAGAATGGAGAGGTGAAAGACTGGAGGCAGGGAGACTAATTAGGAGTCATGCAATAGTCCAGGGAGAAGTGAAGTAGGCCTGAATTAGTGTGGTGGTCAGGAGTACAGAAGGGTTCAGATGCAGATGGGATATATACGTGGAGGTAAGAAAAACACCCACCATTATCCCTCTTGGCCCTTACTCAGAGTTTCTGAAATATCCCCATTACAACATACCTCATAACTGGTCATTCTGCCTCTGCTTGAAGACCTCCAAAGATGGAAAATCTACTACCTTCCTGGCATTCATGGTACAAAGGAAGAGCAACAGATTTTGAAGAGGATCTTGCTTCAAATCCTTCATTTGCTCTTTACTGCTTGACTAACCTTGAACAAGACACTTAGCTTCTCTGGGTCTTAGTCTCCTTACCTACAAAATAAGGAAGTAACTATATGGGATCTAAAGTTTCTTACAGCTCTCTTTTTTTCTAACAGCAAACCTGTTTTCCTCTTTGCAACTTCCACCCATTGCTCCCAGTTCTGACCTCTGCCAAACAGAGCAAGTCTAATCACTGGGGATCCACATAACCCTTCAAATACAGGAAGACAGCTATTATGATTTCTCAAGTTTTCTTTTCTCCATAAATTGCTATTCCTAAAAGTTATAGATGAATTGTGGGATCAGCATCCACAGTTTTCCCTGTGCCAGGACATCATAAGTCTGGTCCCTGAAAAAATATTTTTTTTGTTAATTTGCCTTGAAAGAGTTAAATATCAGGGGGAGCTAGGTGGCACAGCGGATAGAGCACCGGCCCTGGAGTCAGGAAGACCTGAGTTCAAATCCAGCCTCAGACACATGATACCTACTAGCTGTGTAACCCTAGGCAAGTCACTTAACCCCAATTGACTCACCAAAAAGAAAAAAAAAAGCTGAAGGTCAACATTGGACTAGCTGGCTGCTCTAGTCCATTCCAACTCTAAAAAAGTTGCAATTCTGTCTTTTGAGACTTGCTTGGGGCATTGAGAGGTTAAGTGAATTGTCCAGGGATGAAGAATCAGAGGTAGGATTAGACTCCCTCTATCCGCTATGCCACACTGCCTCTTCTTTTGTTGCTTATTTACAAGATAAAAGCAAAATTTTTGATGACTGAAAATTATGAGAATCACTTAAAACGTCTTTTATGCAACCATTAGAATTTTACAGAGTACTTAGTCACTGATATAATAATCACAAACAAAAATGTAGACTTATTCAAAGATGTATGATGTCCAAACTGCACATGATTCATGTATAAGGGTCACTCTTGTCCCTTCTACAATGACCAGTAGTTTTGCTCAACTTTTCATCAAGAACTGTTTCAGTGGACTTACATAGCCTATCTTTGCATTCTGTCCAACTTCAGTCTTTACTTTTTAGTGATTTTATCATTGAACAGAATGCCAGAATGTTTTACTGTCACTACCACTACCTATCAATCGCTACTTTGCACTGTTGAAGACTGTAACTTTACATGCCTTTCAAAGTATTTCTTCTCTTTAGTTTACAAAACAATTGTATTCCTTCCAGCTCATCCTACAAACTGCCTTAATGAAACATCTACTACTATCTTTCATATAACTAACTCAAAAATTCAATACATTCAATTCAACCAGCATTTTTACTGTTCTAGGTACTAAGTAAGAGTGAGAATGAGCTGTGCCACACATGTCTCTCTCTCCGATGTCCCTGCCAATTAGGATGGGGAGCCCTACTCCAGTAGCTCAAGGGGTGACACCCCTAGTCTTACAAGCTACCATTTCTCATTAGCCTCAGTATTAAAGTCTCCAAAGGACTTCTATCAGTCTGGTATCTGGTGTCCCCATTATAGCAAAATTGTTAGGTTTATTATTTCCTTGGTATAGCACGAAACAAAGTTGGCTGGGGCAATTTTAGTGAGGGATGTCTATACAATCATTATGAAGATCCACTACTTCCCTTTTGTTACTGGTGTAGAGTTGAGTTGAAGTAACTGCACCCTCCTTGATATCTACAAGACTTCTACAAATATTTAAGTAATTGTAGTTTTAATATTGAGTCACCAAAGTCAGCTAAAGAAATTCAAAATCAGCCTTCTGAAGTTTCCAAATAGACTTCTGAGTATATCTATGCATTTAAAATTACCTCAGCGCATTGGATAAAGCACTAGTCCTGAAATCAGGAGCACCTGAGTTCAAATCTGACCTCAGACCGAACACTTCACACTAGCTGTGTGACCCTGGGCAAGTCACTTAACCCCAACTGCCTAAAAATTAATTAATTAATTAATTAAAATGACCTCAGGAGAAAGCAAATTGTATTGTATTTCACTGAATTCATGGCACCATATTAAGGATTCAGCATACAGACAAGATATACCTCCTATGTTCAAGATTAGGATTAATAAACAAACTAAAACAGATGTTTAGGGAGAACTGATTTCAAGTCAGGAAAGATGGATTTTCAGTGAGTCTGTGAAAAGGTGAAATATAGTGAACACATGGGAGAACATTCTACAGGATGTCTAGAAGTCCTACAGCGGAGATGCCCTCAGTTTTGTTTAGTTTTTTTCAACAGTGGGCTACATGGTCAGAAATCTAAGCTATGTATACAAGTCTGATTTATTCATTTCCAATAATGTAAAGAGAGACAGCAAGGAAGAGAGGACAGAGAGTCAGCCTTGACCCAGAAACACCTGGATACAAATTCTGCCTCTGACACACTTACTTTGTGACCATACACAAGTCATTTCATCTCTCAATGCTCTAGGCAACTCTATTATACTCTTAAGTCGCAGAGAAGGTGTCTACCTGGCTTAATAGAAGGAATTTTCTCACCCAGGAGTTCATGACATCAATGAAATCAAAGATCTAGTCTAGCCCTAGCCATGACAACAATGAATGTTACCTACACAAAAAATGATGGATTTACAGCAGTAACACAAAAGCAATCAATCTTATTCATTAGAAAGGATACCATTACAGGCCTAGTGCCAGTCATTATCCAATTTTTTCCAAGTCAGTGTGAATATTGATATTTAATAGATATAACCATTCTTGAAAACTGAGCTGTACTTAATAAGTAGTCTGAGACACAAATTGTGGATTCAATGGACAGTGGAAAGGGAAAAAACTATTAAGTGTATTTAATACACAGTGACAAGAATTTCAAAGGTCAACTAACCTAACTATAACTACTGTGAGACACTAAGATTCAGTTAAAGGTAACACACACACACACACACACACACGCATGCACACAAAGAGCAATTTCATTCTCACAACTCAGGTGAACTGCAGCACATTTCTGATCAAAATGACGCCTTAAAAAAACAATTTCATTCAGTACATCAGGGTGTGTAGGACAAAGGAAAAAGCAATGGATGTGCAGGTAGAGCACCTAGATTAATATTCTGCCTTCTGTCTCTGTGACTTTGGACAATTTGCAACCTCCCGAGGTAAGTTTCTTAACTGTAAAATGAGGAGGTTGGACCAGATCCAGATGGCCTCCTCCCCTACTTTCCAGATCTCTATGATCAATTGTTTCTCAGGGATTAATTCTAAGGATACTTAAATCCTTCATTGTATTACCGTTTTTAAATATCCTATTTTAGTTTTTTTTATTCTTAAGCAAATTGGTTATTGATGTTGCTAAGTATTAAATTTAATAAAAATGTAATGTTTAACATAGTTCAATTCAGAGCTTGAACAAAGGAAAAATTAATTCGGGGTTTCATAACGCTGAATAACCTCAACTCCCTATTAGGTACCAGAGGTCAAAAAAGAGATAAATATACTGAACTAGGAATGTGGTACACACGCAGCTCCCAGAAACTAGTGAAAAATTACTTGTCAGTGTTTAACTCACTTCACCTTATTTCGAGGACAACAGGTCTAAACACGTTTTTTTTTGTCTAAATGTCTTTAAGCTATCTTCGACTGTATAAGAAAAAAGTCAACTCCCACAAAAAAAAAAGCCAACTACCATTTTAACGTAATTTGCAATATTATACAGTAAAGATATATAGGTAATGGCCCTGGTTAATCGCAATCTGTACACTCTTTTCTACAACCAACCAAAGCCTGCGAGGGGCTTTATACAATGCCACAGATAATAGGACAGAGCCTGGCAAAACACCACCCTGGGTTTTAAAAGCCTCCAAAGAAAGAATGCCCGGGGAACCACCGGCTGTCTGCATCGGAGAAAATCCGGGGGCGCGAGCAAGCCGAGGAGAAGGTCTCCCCCACCCTGGGAGCCCAAGCCCCCGCGACGAGGCGGACGCCGCTTCTTCCTCTAGCCGGCAGAGATTGGCTCCCCGTGACCCGCTCCGCGGGACACCCGGTCTCTGAGGCCGGGGACGTGCTCCCGGGGCGCGCGCTCGGGCCTCCAGCGTGGGGAACCGGAGGTCCGGGGCCGGACGGGGGCGCCGAGGCGGGCTGGGCGGGACGGAAGCCTCGGCGGCCGCCCCTTCCCTCGGCCCCCGGCCCCGGATAGGCAGGGCTCCCGCGCGCCCGGCCCGAGGCGGGAGGGGGCAGCCGGGCGCCCCGTTTTCCCCAGACCCCAACATGGCGCCGGCCGCCGCCGCCGCCGCCCGGGAGGGGGGAGGACGACGGCTCTCCGCGCCGGGGAAGAGCTCGGAAAGTTTCCCTTCGAAACCGCCGGAGGCACCTACCCGGACCGACGCCCGGCGGCAGTCAGCGAGGCTCGAGAGCTTCCTGGTAACCGGGAATGAGGAGCGGCCGGCGGCAGGCGGGTCCCCGCCCGGCCGCCCTCCCCCGGGGGCAGCGCGAGCCCCTCTCCAAGAGTACGAGCGGACGCCGCGGAGGAGGAGGAGGGGGAGGAGGCGTCGCAGCCGCCGATCCCGATCCGGACCCGCCGAGCCGGGAGCGCGGCGGGCGGCCGTTCGTTCACAGGTGACTCTTAACCGACGCTCCCGAGACTCCCCCGACCCCCGCCACCACCACCTCTTCCTCCTCCTCCTCCTCCTCCTCCTCCTCCTCCTCCTCCTCCACTAGTCAACTGCGAACTCAACCGCCTCCTCCGCGGCGGCGCGTGCGCGACTGCCGACGCGCGCACGAACTTCAGAGCGCACCCACCCCGCCCTCGAGGCGCGCGGGAGGCGGGGCGAGCTGCGGAGGCCCCGCCCTCCCCGGGGTCGGGAAAGGGTGGGGTTGGACAAGAGCGAGGAAGGGAGGGTCCTGACGCCATTTTGGGCAGGGCTTGAGAATTTCGTCCTCCTCGGCCCTTCTTCCTGATCTAGGTGGTGTCTCCGTCGCTTATGATCACCTCCACCCCTTTCTGGAAGGGCTTGATTAACTTTTAGAAGTCAGATAGAGTGAAAAAAAGCCTGGTGTCACCTTTTATGTGTGGAATGTAAAAGCGATGGAAGCCCCTTGGTAGAATGTCACCTCGCTGAGGGCAGGGACTATTCCTTTGTGCTGAACAGCACCTGGCACATAGTAGGCACTTAATGGAGCAGTGCTGCACCTGGCGTCAAATCCTGCCTCAGTCACTTACTAGCTGTGTAATTATGGGCACTTAAACTCTTCCTCAGTTTCCTCATCTGTAAAAAACTGGGACTGATAATAGCTCCTACCTTCTGAAGTTGTTGAGAGGACAAAATGAGATATTAAAGTGCTATGTAAAGGATAGTTATTACTAGTATAAATGTTGAATTGGGGCAAAAAGAAAAGAAAGCCTGGGCTCTGGGCAAAGTGCTGTGCATGGAGAAGTGCCTGGCACAGTAGACGCTTCATAAATATTTATTGGTTCATTGATTGGACCAGGATTCTAATTCTGCCTCTGCTGTTTCCTAACGTGGGTGCCCTTGGGCAAGTCTTTTAACCTCTGCCTGGGCCCTAATTTGTCTGCAAAATTAGTTCCTTGGCTGATGTTCAGTTGTGTTGTAGTGTTGTAACCCCATTTAGGGTTTTCTTGGCAAAGATGCTGGAGTAGTTTGCCAATTCCTTCTCCACCTAATTTTACAGATGAGGAAACTGAGGCCAGGGTCACACAGCTAATAAGTGTCTAAGCTGAATTTGAACTCAGGTCTTCCTGACTCTAGACCAGGTGCTCTATCGGCTGTGCTACCTCCTCTGGGCTTTCCCTCTAAATGAAAAATGTTGGCCAGGGTAAGGAAAGAAAATCTATTGACTCCTACAGAGGTCGGGGTAGGCTTGTAGGAAGAGGTTCTGACACCCTTGGTTATTTCTTCTCTTTTCCCTACATTAATGGAAGGTCCAGTAATGGGAGCTGGCCCTTTTAGGGCCTTTTCCATTGTTGGTTCAGTGAAATGGCAAAACTTCAAATTAGAGTTAAGTGGAAAGTGGACTGGATGTGGAAGGAGAAAGACCTGAGTTCAGATTTAGACTCTGATGATTACCTGTGTGGCCTTAAGGAAATTACTTAACCTGTCTGGGCCTCAGTTTCCTTATCTGTAAAATGAAGGAACTGGAGAAAAATCAGGCACTACATTCAAATAATTGATTTGTGCCTCCACCTTTAATTTTACTTGCATAGGGAGGGAACTCCTTGGGGGAAAAATCCCTCTACCAATGCATATCAGCCCTTGTTCTTTAACATAAGTAGCTTGTCCAGAGTCACACAGCAGCCAGAGTTGGTTTTGAACCCAGGTCTTCCTCCAATATGATCTCCATCTAGGATACAGCCACACTGCTTCGAAGTGGTTCATAAATCTTATAAAATGTTTTCTGACCTCCACTTACCTCTTTTCCCCATCTGAAAAATATAAATGCCATTTATAGTATTCATTGTTAAACCATTTAGGAAGCGACTTGATTCATTCATCAAGCCTTTATTGAGCTTCACTGTAATGGGTAAATACCAAAGAAGTACATAAAATTACCTCAAGGAATTTACTGTAGAGTCCAGAGAAACTAAAATATACACAATTAATTTCATTAATTCATTCAGTAACATTTATTAGCATCGACCATGTGCCAAACTGTGCATATAAAGACAAAAATGGAACAGGACCTTGTCTTGAAAGAGCTTATATTTTCTTGAACGAAACAAGAAGTACTCAGAAATAAGTACAAAATTTGCTGCAGTGCTGACTCACCACCACAGGATTTTCTCTACAGGGCCATAGAAACCTCTTCACACTGGAAGCTCCTTCCATCCCTGTGTCCTCACCTGCTGATTAGCCATTCCTCCCAGAATCTCCAATTTAACAAAGAGAGCCAGGGCAAAAATGTCTTCATCCCATCTTCAGGCTGCACTGTTGACTGACATCCACTGGACTTTCTCTACCATGCACCCAAGGATACTTCTTCTCCCCTCCCAGCTCTCTCTTATGTATTGTCTTCCTCCATTACAATGCTCCTTGAGGAGCAGGGCCTCTGGTTTTATTTGCATTTCTATCATTCTGCACAGTGCCAGGTACTAAATGCTTGATGACTGACTCACAAAGTAAATGCAAAGCAATTTGTGAGGGAGAGGGCAGTAACACTTGGGGAATCTGGATAGGCAGGCTAGGAGGTGGCACAAGTTGAGCCTTTAAAGACAGTAAGGATTCTAGAGTTCATGGCATAAATAAAAGTGTTTGGGTAATGAGTAGGCCAGTTTGACCTGAATGTAAAGTGCAAGAAGGGATTCATGTAAAATAAGAGGTAGACTGGAACCAAACTGTGAAGGGCTCTATATTTTATCCTAGATTCAAGAGGGAACCAAGAGAATTTGTTTCTTAACCACTGGATTGCAACCATGAGACCTGTGCTTTAGGAATATCAGTTTGGCAGCTTTATGGCTAATGGGGTAGTAACAGAAGCTGTTGGAAGTAAGAAGACTCAAACTAGTCCATGGAATTGTGATAAGTGGAAGTGGAGAGGAGACAAAGCATGTCAAGAAGACATAACAATAACAATAATAACAAGAGATAATATTTATATAGCACTTACTGTGTGCCAGGCACTGTGCTGCGTGCTTTACAATTATTATCTCCTTTGATCCTCATTTTACAGATGAGGAATCTGAGGCAAGAAAAGATTAATTAATTTACCCAGGATCACGTAAGCTTTTGAATTCAGTTCTTTCTGACTCCAGGATGGACCACACTGATGGGATATCAGGTGTAAAGGAAACTGAAAAATCAAAGGTGCTTCCAGGGTTCAACCTGAGTAACCAGAAGGATAACGGAACTATCAAAAGAACTAAGGAAGTTAGGAAGAGAGGTAAGCTTGGGGGGGAATAATGAGTTTTGTTTTGGACTTGTAGAGTTTGAGATTCAATTCAATTCCATAAACACTATGCTAAGCACTAAGGATACAAATAAGAAAAAAAACAAGTTTTTTACCTTCAAGGAGCTTGCAATCTAATGGGAAAAGACAACACATAAAAGGAAGGTGGAAAGGGGGCAAGGGGCCATCATAGAGCACGATATTCCAGGAATTCAAACCAAGCAGAGCTGCTAATGGAAAGTGGAGAATGAGTTGGAAAGTTCAAATCCCAGATTTGGGACCAGTTTAATGCTCTACCTTTCAGTCCTCTATTCAGAGGAAAGAGGAGGCTGAAGGAGTTGAGAAGGTGTTGAGTATCCAAAACTGAGCAGAGCAGCATAATGATGAGATTTCAGGTGATCGGTTTATCCCAAGTGGGGCATGATGTTCTGGTATTCAAACCAGCAGACCTGCTGATGGAGAGTTAGCCTTCAGTATGCCTTCAGGACATCTACTTAGAAACATGGATATAGATGGGTGAGGTATGATTGATTTGCTCACAATCCAATTTTCAGCCTGAGATGTTAGAGAAAAAAAAAGGAAGACAAAAAAGAATCATAGAATATTAGAGCTGGAAGGGAACTTGGAGATTATCTAGTCCAGCTTCCTCATTTTACAAGAAAAAATAGACCCAGAGAGTTTGTGACTTACTCAAGATTGCATCATAGCTTTATCAGGAAGTGAATCCTCGTCCCTTGGCTTTTGATCTAATACACTTCCCACTATACTATGTTGACTAGTGATCTATGCATATGTGTATATACACTAAGAGAACTTTAAAGGCATCATGGAATAAGTTTTGTGGTGATATAATAATCAGCCCCTAATTTATCTGTTTTATAAATTCATATTTTTATATATAATCCCCATCCCAAGGCCCATGTGTATGGGACTCTTTCCTTATTGGTGAAGATAAAAGTCCTGCCCTACATGAGAGGTGAGGCAGAGTTGGTGAGAGGTGAAAAAGCTCTAGCCTTCACCAGTCCTTTTTGGGACTCTGGTGTTTTTTGAGCATCAAGAGAGAAGATGGAAGAGGCTAACCCACTTCAGGCAGTTAAAGGAAGTCTCTAAGAAGACATAATGGAGATGGTCATCTCCATCATGTCTAGAGAGTTTCCCCTTGGCTGAGATCTAGGACATTTTCTCTTGGTTGAACTGAGGTGTCTTGTTCCCAATGGGAGAGCTGCTTCAGTCTGTGTTGTCTGGTATACATTCTCCTATAAATACCTTCTCTGGTTCCTGTTTTGCTATGATTTGGGTAAATAAGTTTCTTGGCTATTTGCTTGCTATACATACATGTTCATTGTGGAACTGGTATTTAGTGGGAAAGGGGTCAAGCCTTAGATTTAGAGCTTGGGGTCCCCCTTCCCCCTAAAATTGACAAAACAATCAAAAGTTAGCTCAAATCTGATCATATCCCTTAGAAGGGTAATATTTAAGAGAACAAATAGATGTAATTCTGGTCCAGTGTCCCCTCTTTCTGAGGAGCCTCAGCTCCAACCTTCTGCCTCCCTTCCTGGCAGGAAAGAAAGCTTCCCTTGGAGCC